GTATTGTATTTTCAGACAATCAAACAATGCCTTATGGAGTAAAAGTCCTATTTGATGACCCACGAGTAGGGAAACTTTTTAAAGACTCAACAACACAAGCAATTTTAATAAAACCAGTTACTGTTGACTTTTTTGGCAAAGAAGGAATTCAGATTCAGAGAACTCAAATACCACTTATGCCATCATGGGCAGTAACAATTCACAAAAGCCAAGGAATGACTGTTTCTAATGTTGTAATCAATTTGGGACCCAAATGCAATAAACCTGGACAGGCATATGTAGCATTAAGTCGTGTACAATCTTTACGTGGTCTTGCACTAACAGAATTCACTGAAAAGTCTATAAAAGTTTCAAGAAAGGTTACTCAGGAAATGCAACGACTATTAAACCTAACAAGAGACACACAACTGCCAGATAATTAATTAGCCTTTCTCACAAAGGTCTAAATTACAGTATATATCTGCCATTTTTAGGATCACTATTTTATAAACAACGTGAAAAATCTAAGGGATGTGAAAATAATTTTTCAAATATTTAACTGTAAATCGATTTATAATCATTATGTATACAGTACTATAGTTATAGAAAGTTTCATTTTCACAGCTTACTATTGTGACTACCTTTTTACAAAAAGGTTGCCACCCAAAAATGTCCGTGTGAGAAAGGCTAAAAAGTTAACATTTTCTTATTTTCTTTTAAGATGTCATTTCAAACTGTCTCTGACCTGAAAAACCTTCCATCATCTGATGAAAAAGCAATTATAACAAAACCGATTAAAGTTAAAGTTATTGTGGATCCAGTGTACCATCATGATGATAATCCAACCACACCAAATGTCATTGTCATGAGTATTGTTGCTGATGATTCAGGCACAATCAAATGTCACATTTCAAACGAAAAAGACATTGTCAAAAAATTCTTTCAGAAAAACGCATCAATTGTTATTTCGAAGTGCACCATAACCACTTGTGATGAAGAGCCTCAATTGAACATCAACATGCAATCAAGCATCTTCCTTATTCCAACATTCAACTTGAAACAAAACTTACCACTACCACTCCTACCATCCTTCCCAACCATCAAATTGACCCCAATAGCAGAGGCATTGAAACTTCCTAGAAAACGACAAATATCCATTGAGGGAAAAATTACAAAGGTATGTATGAGTGATTGCATTTGCCAAAAAAAGCTATTAGTATTCACTTTCTATATAGCTCCTAAGAAGAATAAATTGCTGCATATATTTACTCTATTCCCTAAAGTAGAAAAGTTTGCTAGTAATACAGTATTTTATATGTCTCTAATTTAAAAACTGTTTCTTAGATGGTGAGTACATACAGTACTATATGATCCAACCCTGTCTGTGAAACCCTTACTTGCTATAAAAGTGTAATTATAATAGTCTGTAACAACTATATAGTGTGTTTTAATTCTACCTCTACTATGTACTGTAGATTGAACCACCAATAAAGGTAAAAAATAACTCGATAGACCTCAAGAAAGTGTTCTTGAAAGACACAACTGGGATGATGCAAGTATCTCTCTGGAAAGACAAGGCATCCCTACCACTTTCCCAAGGAGACGTTATCTCATTTACTGGACTACAGACATCAATGTTCCAGAATAGACCAATGGCATCTTCAACAACTCACACTCAAGTGAAGGTAAATGAAAAATTATAATAGCTGAAAAAACAGATCCGAATTCTTCAGTAGCATGAGAAATATTTCACTGTTATCTAGAACAATACACCCTTTTGATAATTACATCATTTGACCTGGTAGCCTAGCTCTCATGAATCATGAGCCAATCACCTTGCATAATTTACTGATGAGAGCGAGGCTCAAAGACCAAAAAATATGTGCGACATAATTATCGAAAGGGTGTATTAATCTCATCTTTTTTTGTGTGATTTACAAAATCCAAATATATTCTATAAAAATTAAATAAGTCACATAAATTGAAAGTCTGACATAGCTTATTGCATAAAATTAAATATGCAAAAGCTTCTTTTTCCATCTTATGAGCAATATACATATAACGTCTGTAATCCACATTACTGTTATGCTCTATTTGCCATATTACACATACCTTTTCTGTACTTGCTTGAATAGGTGTCTGAAAACCAGGACTTGATCCTCATTGACACTGATGATGAATATGATCAACTCTACAAAGATGGAACCATCATTGGCATTCAAAATGTTATTTGCTACAACAGCTGCAGTAACAAACAATGCAGGAACAAAAAGCTCGATTCCACCAACCAGTGCCCGCGTTGTTCGAAAATTTATCCTGATGACAAATTGCAAAAAGCATACGTGAGTAATCTCTGCCTTCAGACTGAAGAAGACTTAAAGTCTGTCACAGTGTTCCAAAAAGTATTCATCCAACTTTTCACCATTGATGAAAATGAAAACCGCCAAGCTGAAGACTTGACAGCTGCGCTGCTACAAAAACTACCAATCTCCCTAAAATACAAGGAGAACGATGATATTATTCAAGAGATCATTCTTCTCTAACATCTTCCAAGAAAACAGTGTACTACATAGTTGTGTTTTTGTTGTGTTTAATAATACAAGTGGACACCCTCACCCCTCATGACTTGACTTGGTTTCTGCCTAAGAGAGGTTTATATAGTACTAATATATAATAGCTGTGTTTTGACTAGGACCCAAGAACAGTGTCCGTCTGCAAGAGGTGTCCATATTAAGTAGAGGTAGACAGTATATAATTTTCATATTACTTAATTGCATACCATGAGTATTAACATTTCACATTTGCATGCAAATTCTCTATTGCTGCATAATATATTCCGGAGTACTTACAGGTAATCGATTTTTATCGATTTATATATCCTAAACAGTGTGTCAGCATGTTCAAGCTATTATCTGTTCCCATTTTTCAAAGGTATACATGTATTCGATCTGTATGGCCAGATAAAAAGTTAATTAATTCATTCATTTTTACTGAATTCGTTAACATTTTTTTGGTTACAACATTAATTAAACTATGTATTAATTAAATTACAGCGCTACCTGTTTGATTGCATGCATATTAACACAGGTTTTTCCATCAATGAAAATCGATAAAAAATCAATCAATTTAAAAAATCAATCAAGCGATGAAAGTCGCACCAAATTCACAAAGTTACAGATATTTATTGATTTCTAATATCAATCGATTATTTAATACATGTAAATATCAATTGGTATTGATTGATATCAATATTTATCGATTACGTATGCCCGGGAATATATATAATTAAGCCTATTAAGCATAATACTTTAAGAGGTGTCCATATTAAGTAGAGGCAACGACTTGGTCGACTGTATTTAGTATATACAGTATTTTTCATATTATTTAATTGCATGAGTATTAACATTTGATATTTGCATGCAAATTCTGTATTGCTGTACAATATATATAATTAAGCGTATTAAGCATAAATATATTTAATATTTGTACCATTAAGGCAAACCCTTACTAATATAAAAATACATTTTTCACAAATTTGGCCATGTGCGTCTTTATCAAGTTTTTCCCACTTATTATAAAATTTTGGATTTGTTCGGTGAACACAAAATGAACCGCCAATTTCCGTCATCGACCTCAATATAAAGACACAATGCTTTTCAAATATTTTAAAGTATGTGCATACATATATTTAGCAAAGAGCCAAAGAATATAAATCAGATGCATGGGATTTTATACAAAAACTATAAATATACATACCTAATTGTCGTCCACCCATGCTTCGTAGCCTTGTTGATAAATGTTAACCTCGTGAATCAGTGTGTGTGTGGACCAAGGACGCCAGAAATATTTGTGTATCTTTATACTATTAAACCTTTTAGATAATATATAATTTCGTCGCCATTTTGAAGTATTTTTATAAATAGCGGTATTATATTTTTAATACCACCATTAGCAATTTTGCATCTCGGAGCGGTGATTTTTTTGCCTGCAAGCAAATTTTGCCCGCCAATCTACAGGATTTATATTTGAAGTATTTTTAAAAATTCTTTATTAAAACCATGGATAATAAAATACATGTTAAAACAAAGCGCCAACAGCGGTATATATTTATTATATAGTTTTCTTTGTTTTTCCTCATTTTAAATACTAATGTTAATACTACTAGGTAATGAAAATTACTAAAACGTCGAAAAAATTACCAGAACCCGCCCGCTTCACAAAATGAACCAGTGATCTATTGGTCACAACCGCTAATTAAAGACGTCTGGTATTTCTATATTGGAATCTATATTTCTATAATTATATTGGAAGCACGGGAACGAAACATTATTTCTTTTTTTAAAGAAATATTTTCTTGTTCGTTATACAATATAAATGTACCGCCCGACAAAATAATTCAAGACAGTTAATTTTTTCATATTTTATATAGAGTTTTTATTGCCATTTTAAACTTCCAATTTGAAACAAACAGAATTTTGAGTGAAATTTCATTCTATTTTAAAGAAACTCAGTCATTCTGTCATTGTTTGTGGAGATACGAACTCTATTGATATATAAATTATATAAATATAAAATATAAAAAATAAATCTCCCATTGTCTTCGACATTTCAAAGTGTAGACTGTGTCTAGTGATGAGAATCAAGGAATTTATTTTATGTGTTAATATAAACCAAGCCTGTTTAGCCGTTTAGCTGCCTTAAAACGGTGGTTTAATAAGCTCAAAATACAAAGCATGCAAGTCTATACTATAGATTCATCATCAGTCAACAACCAAACTGAAAGTATTGAACCTTATAGAACGATAGTTTTTATTTGTTTACAACTATACATATTCAACGGGTATATATAAGAGTTTAATGTATCGATCAATTCGAAACTTCGCCATCCCCCCCCCGGGCCGACCCCGGGAATTTGAACTTTTTGAAATTTGACTGATCAAATTCTCCACCCTCTGTGCAAAAAATGTCTTCAAATGCCCCACTGTAACAAGAAATTAAACGTTCAAATGCCCCACCTTCATATGAAAATTATGAAACAGTAAATACAAAAAGTACAAAATATACGGAAATGTTTTCGACAAGATAGCGAAATTCGCGTAAACAGTTTGGATACCTTGTGGAAATTTAACAGTTTTACACGTTATGTAGTACATACCTTCAAATAAAACACATAGATTTTCCATGCCCGTTTCTTTGAGCCAGTTTTTTCACAAAATTGAGGCCGTTTCCCTCGAAATCTGAGAAAACTGTATTTGCCGCCATTACGAAGTATTTTCTGTGCATGCAGGAAGCACGCGAAAACGGGCAACATTTTAAGACTTCCGGTTCAAATTCCCCACCCCGTTATCAAATGCCCCACCACATGGAAGACTTAGAACGTCAAATTCCCTACTCCCTGGAGAAGACTTGAAGTCAAATTCCCGGGGTATGCCCGGGGGGGGGGGGATGGTGAAGTTTCGAATTGATCGATACATAACTGTTATTTGATAATTACTGCATCAACCGGCCCCTTGTTTATACTTTGGAGGTTCGTATATATTAATATCTATCAAGTATCTTTGGTTCAGAACATGACTGATAGGCCTATATGGAAATCCCACTGTTCGATTCAGTGAAGAAATATCTCCTAATTTCTATCGATAGTTTTAGTAAAATGTCAACATTATTGCGATTTATGGCTTTTGAAAGTCAAGCGAGATAGTATATTATCAAATTAATACGCATGTAATTGTCTGAACGAAAATATAGACTAGCCCATACCTTTCGCCGATCATAACTTCGGCCCCTTCGGACGTATCTTCTTTGTTAAATATTCTTGTTCGAATCTCTATCAAAAACACTACTTAGAGTGTTATTTTTCAGCTTGTATCTTTTAATTTGGTTCTTTTATTATGTTATTCCATTTCTGGTCTGACTTGACGTGAACTAATTTCAAAACGCAGAGTTTCAAAACGTCAAAACATTTGGTTAATGATTAACATTTAACCGAATTTAGCCGTTGATTGACAACTACATAAAAATACTAACCAATCCGTTTTTCCCGTTCACCAGCGGACGGGTAATTCAAAAACCCCTAGTTTTTTCGGCAGACGTAGCCTGCATGGCAGGCGGTATTTCTACGGGCAGCGAAAATTAGGGAAGCAAAGGTATTTCCTACGTACCGCCTGCCATGCAGGCTACGGCAGACGGTATTTCCTTTGCTTCCCTAATTTTCGCTGCCCGTAGAAATACCGCCTGCCATGCAGGCTAGTGGAAACCTGAAACGGTATCCTTTATGATCTTATAGGATTCTGTAAGATTCTTTGAAGATCCTAAAATATAGTAGGATCCTACTTAAGATCCTATAATAAAGCATGAGTTTTAAAATTAACATCCTGTCAGGATCGTAGACAATTTACATATTGGTATAATCAAATGATACTTAATTATACTTGAAAGGGAACTGGCTTTGCTAAAATAACCTAATATAGCTAAAAATAAATGTGCACTATCTCCTGGTTACCGATACCGCCTTATTTTCATGTTTTGCTCGTACATGTTTTGCCCGTACGGATTGATCATGCATAGATTGCCGCTCTTGGTTTCAGGAAAGATCCTGCTAATGGTATAATACACCCTTCCGGAAAGTACGCCACTTTGGCTATAGAGCCTCATTTTCGTATATGTCAAAGTTAAAGCCCACCATTTCTATCACGAAAATGAAGCCTTATAACCAGGGTGACGTCCTTTCCGGAAGGGTGTATTAACAACTGAATGAAGTAAGCATGACGTCTGTATTGACAAAGATGTCGACTAGTTGACCGTCGAAGAGCTTTTGTAGATGGAAATTTCGAGCGGAAGATAATATACAATCTTAGACCTGACCAGGAGTATAGCTGCGAAAAATGCAAGTATAGGCCCTTAGCAAGCAACCACAGAGGATTGCAGGCTCAGGGTTCGACTAAGGTTCGTCGTGTTTCTGTAGCAAATTAGTTGTAATCCTTGACTTGTGCATTTACTTATTGTTCTTGATGATTACAGCGTAATCCGGATATGGTCTGTGTCGCAACATGTTCTAACCTGGCCCAGATTACCTCTATATACTAAGGAATCTATAACTATAAGTTTCAGTAAGATACACGTTTCATTGGTGTTTTTATTCAGTTAAAACAATAAATATAATCGAGGGGCGTATTACCTAGTGTATTTTCTAAGTACTTTTATTGCGACATTCTTGCCGTAAATTTTTATTTAAAATTGAAAAAGAAGGGATTATGTATATTCAATTGTAACGAATTGTATGATGAATTTTCGAGTAATCACCCTCGACCTGGTCAGAAAATGGCCATTAAAAAAGCTACTATTCTATAATTATCCTTTGATTAGTTTCACTGGTTTCATTGTCATCAGTAAGATTCGCATTTGTCTGGTCATGCACTTCATTAATTACTGGCTGTACAGTTGAAGGATTGTCTAACAAACGAATTCTTTCATTCTGGTTCATTCTACGCGGCATAGTTCGCAACACAGTATCTTTAACACTTCGCCCAACAACACGGACATGGTCGGTCATGTCTTGCCGGACATCAGACATGTCAAACATGGAACGGAACGAAGCCCAGCAAGGGTAGGATGGTGCATCAGGATCCACAAATGGTGTGTGAGAGAACACGTAGTAATGAGCCACAGCAGCGATGAACATTTCCACACAGATACAAAAGTTCTACAACAACAATTAACTATTTAAATTAACAAAAGGTAAAAGCCAGCCTCCTTCGCACCTGTGCTGCCCAGGGGCCCCTATCTAAAAAAAATTTTCCGGAGAACAACCTCCCCCCCCCCGTCGCCAAAAAATTTTCGGTCAGTGTACCATTTTAGGGGGTCAAAAATTTTTTCCGGAGTACAAAATTTTTCCGGACGAGGACGTTGCAATTGCTTTCGAGGGACTTTATCTCATTTTTTTAGGCCAAAATTCGGTACTTAGCCCAAGAAAACAGATCTCTTGTCCTTTGCGCGGAAATATTTAACACACAAAAAAGGCTGGGGCCCAACAAAAATTTTTCAGGGGCCCCCAGCAACTCGGGGCCGGGGGCAATTTGCCCCCCTGCCCCCCCCCCTCTCTGCGGCCCTGGCGCTGCCCGCGGAGGAGGCTACGTGAAAGCTACAGGTACAAACGCTGTAAAGGTACAGCCAAATAAGGGATTAATTAATAAGGTTATTATTAAAAACTCAACCATGAAAGACGAACTTTATCACCACGTCATTGGTTGTTGAAAAATCTGAGTCTTTAAATAAAAGCAAGATTGATGAAGAAAAACCTACCTGAATACCTGTTGAAACGTCTTCTACCTTGTAAAAATCCCACGTTTTCTCACCAGAAATAACACCAGCCTAAATATAGGAAAAGAACCCTATGAAAATTGAATCCTACTGTCAAGGATTTGTGGGATTCAATCATTTTGAATCGAGTATTAATATTTGGAAGTCATACCTTGACTAAAATTCCAATAAGTGCTGCCTGCCTATGGTGATAAAAGACATAATAAACAACAGTATTACATGCGAAATCAGCATAAGATACAGAAATGCCGGACAAAATTACAGAAAAATCTGCATGCGGATTCCTTTTTCAAGTATTATAGTGAATGTAACATAAATATGTGGTTTGAATCTTGAAATAACATTGCGACACGTAAATTGGTAGATACCTTTTTAAATTGACGAATGTGAAAACATTGGAAATTTGGAGATGGAAAATAAGGAAAAATTATATTTACCAAAACAACTTACCAAAATGTGGCAAAGACAACCATTTTTATACACAAGAATTTTCCAAATGGTTTGATTGGTTGAAGTTCTTTGTGCGTCGCTTTGTAGAACAGTACCAAACAATAAAGAGCCCACTGTAAAAAAAATACAGGATACAGCTAGCATTGAATATCTATGCTTGCATACATTGAAATCATACTGCATGTATATTGAGCGCATGCAGGACTGTGGAATGGTGGAATACCCTGCAAGCTGAACCATTTGTAATGACTATAGCCGAGTAAAATAGGTACAATGGGATTAACCTGGCAGATGTCTGTAGCGTTAAGGGGATAACGACTCCCCCAGAATGGCTATCACTAGTTATTTCCGGGCAGACGCTGGTATTCCTTAATTAGCAGCTGAAAAACTGGAAAAGAGCTTTATTTGAAAAGAAAATTATTTGATATTTTGGCTTTAAGAAACTGCCCATTAGTACGTGACAGGAGGTACTTTTTATAATATTTTAGAGTATACCATGTGAAGAAAGGCTGCAGTATTCCATACCATTTGTGAAAAATTAGTGACAACAACTATATACGACCAAGCAGACTTAAAGTCAAAATTCCCTTCATTGTAATGACCTGAAAGTTCAGTTACGCTGCAAGAAAGTAAAACAAAAATACAACTGAGCACAAATTCATAGTAAAAATTGATGAGAGACTGTTTTGTGCGTGCATGCATAACATGTCATATATTAGACAGCTGGGATGGCAAGCTTAAGACCAAATGGCTAACTGAAGACATTTTGTCAGCATTCTTAGCTTTCTTCGTTCTACGTAGATCTTTAACAAAGTTTGAATGACCATTGTTAATGTTGTGTAGAGCACGTGACCGGAAGTAAAAAGGTTAGGCGCGAGTCGGGAAAAGAAGATATAGGATACTTGGAAAAGCGAAAGACACGCACGTTTTGTATTTCATAGTTTACACCACATTAAGTTGATATTGTTTGTTCTATTAAAACCGATATATGACAATTAAGAGGCGAGATATGACAATTAAGAGGTTGAAAAGCTCACTGAGAAAATCTGCTCACAAAAATTTGAGGGTGATCCGATGAATATATCCAAAGGTATAGACAAAAATCGATTGTGTGGTCAAATCGTCGGAAAGTGGCCAAAATACCTGGTCGAGCAGCCTCAAAGCTGTCAAAACAAAGCTTGTCATATGAAAGGAGTGATAGCCACTTCTGTAATACTGAAGTTAACTGATAAAACTTGGCAAAATATCTTATTTAGGCATTTTATGTTTAGAATTTTCTTTACAATACAATGCAATAAGAAAAACGTGGAGTTAAATTTCGTTGTATATTAAGGTGATTCATCAGTTTTGCATTGCGCACGTTTACTGCCCATATATAATAACAAATTCTAGCTAATATATGTAATCGAACTGCAATGTAAATTGATAAAGAAAGAGTAAGGGTAAAGAGAAAAACACTCTGCATTGATTAGGCGTGCTTCAGGAAATATATACCTTCAAAAATGACAGACCTCTGGCTAGGGCTCCCTGTGCAACTAACATTAAACCACATCATGTTGCATGTTTAACCCTTGTATCTCTTTAAGAAGGCCCGTGACCCTACTTTTTTATTTTATATTTTTCTTCTTCTATATGTTTTACATGTCATATCAAGAAATACGAGAAAAATCATTTCTACAATATATCATATTTACATTTTTTGTGCATGCTTCCCAAAATAACATGTCTGAGAAGATAGGAAAATACATATTTGCATCACGACAATGCACGGTCAATAGTTTTTGATACGCTAAAATATCATGTTTTCTGTTCTGTACATTATCACTAGACAGACATTTTTAGTAGGATCTTGTTAAAAAAAATTCAAAAACGGTTGAGCAATTGCGATTGTTCCTGTAACTCGTAAAAGGGTCAAGATGGCGCCTTATGGGGAAAAAGTGGCATGTTGTACTTGTCATATCTTCAAAACGAGTTCGGTGACCCCAACTTTTTTTTACCTGTTTTTACTATGAGCATATATCATAAACTTCACCCCTAGGAAGTTTCAGCAAATTGTCATTTCCAGAACAATTACTGATGAATCACCTTAAGTACTTTAGGTTGGGTATACTTACAAAGCAACAAATGTTGAGACGATTCTAACAACAGTATATGATATGACGCCGTGCTTACAATTCTCGATAAATTCCCTAACAAAAGAAAATCTACATGTATATGATCAGATTTACCTAATTTGGCATACCATATTTATGGGTCAAGTATACGAAATGGCATATCAAAGGCAAGCGATAAATTGAATGAATTTGATGGATGGGATCAGTCAGAAAGGCGTACATCTACAACCATATCGAAATCGTACAACTACAACCAACCTTCCCATTTCCCAGTCGGGCAGGCAGCAAACGGGAAACAGATGGTGGACTTGTGTCTTTGCTTCCATAACGCGGTCGAAGTCTTCATATTCAGCATAAAGATAGCTAAGCAAATACGCGAGAAATGACAAAATAACGAAGGCTTCGTAACATTCACGAACACTGTCCAAGTATATAGCTGCTTTAGGAAATCGGAGAGCCAACCACTGAAACAGAAAAAATAAAAAGTTTCATGGGTCAAGAAATTTGGAGGTCAGTTAGGATCGGCCGTCGTGAAGATAACAGAGAGTTTAAGATCTAGGACGAGGCAACTCAAAATGAATTTGTGACTGGCACCAGGGGTATCCTCAACAGTGTTGTCACTCTTAACGCAACATTCACGTCTTTGAAGCAACGTAAAAGCTGGTTGTGACGTTAGAGGTGTCACATGAAGTCGGCAGACACTGCATTTTTTAAAGCCAGGTTTCCATATACAGTAGTCGTAGCGGTCGCAAAAATAGATTCACGATCTTTCTCAACGGCCAGATTATAATAGTTTTTACCTGTAAACCATATATAAATCATAAGTATTCTCTATTTATAATCACTCTGCCTATTTTCAGTTCTAAACTGTTGTATTTCGGCTGAGAAAAATCGTGACTCAATCTTTACGACCGTTACGACCATATGGAAACCAGGCTTAAGGCTATATAGACCCATTGCATGCCACATGACGTCACAGCGCTGGTGACGATGCATCCGGAGGACAAATTAGCAATCTATGCATAATATAACTTTTGTAAACAAAGCAAATTTTGTAAAACTTTATAATAATTTTGTGTTAAAATGGTTAATTTTTGCGCTGTATGTGGTTGTTGTACCCGAACAGATATTGTTAGGGAGCATCTGGAGGATACTCTAATTAAGGACTTGTGACGTCAGTGCAATGGGTCTATACAAAAATTAACCTCATAGTATACAAATAATGTAATTTATTTTTTATCATGCAGTCAGAATGAAGTAATCTGATTGGCTGAGGAGCCTTTCAGAGCGGGCCGGTTTTTTGCATCCGACCCGCTCTGAAACGAAACTGCCCGCTGTGAAATGCAACTTCCCGCTCTGGTTTTCGCGGCAAAAACGAGGAGTGAAACAATTTTTAAACGAAAAAATCTGCCCAACACGTTTGAAAAACATACTAGCCTAACGATAGTCAGAATACGAAAATAAATTGCATCAAGCCCTAAAGACTTCATATACTAAGCATGATGTTCACCAGAATTGACAATATTTTGAGAGAAATGCGACTGAAAGTCAGAAATGTATATAAAACTTACGCCGAGAAAACTATATTTTTTTAAATGTCCATGTATTCGGCCACTTAAAAGCGAAAAAATTACAGCTTAAACAGATATTGTAAAATAAAAGTTTTCCCATTTAAAAGAAGGTTTAGCTGCAGCAGTGAAAACAAGTCACGAATATATTCTCTACCCATTTGTGTCATGCATTTTTCACTGAATCAGATATAAATATTGTATAAAACAAAGTAAAAGTCTGCGTTTAAAAACACTTTTTTCAAGCATATTATCGTGAAACGACTAGAAAAATGTAAAAATAGCATACCTTTTTCATTGTCCTTTAAGTAGAAAAACCGGCGTTGATCAAATCAAAACAGATTCATTTTTATGTGTTTTTGAGTCGGATCTGAACATGAACCTGTCGTTGTCAGAAGCAACTGAATTTGTCAAAGGCAAAACGCCAGGCTTAAAACTTTTTATTCCAAAGCTTCTCTGCTACCATATTCATGGAAAAAAGCATATAAATTTTTACTTTTTTTAAAATTTTTATACGTCTTTGTGTGTTTCTTGCCAGTTTTCTCGAGTTTTCGTATTCGTGTTTTATATCTTTCAATTTTTGTCAGCCTCGCTTTAAAAATAAACAACTGCACTGATCTCAAATTAGTTCGCAAGCAACACTGGAATTTTAATGAATTTAATTTTTAGATCTGATAAAAAATAAACACGTTATTTACTGGCAGCGTCGGTCCGGATGAGAAAAACTGTGCCCTCTACCTCGGGCACAGTTTTTCTCATCCAGACCTCACAGCCAGTAAATAGTATATAATACCTTATTGAATTCTGATCGTTTAACTGGCTGTTTATGGTCACGTGATATTGAATAGAAAATTCCATTTCCCAAAGAATGTAGGCTAATTAGCCAAAGAATGTAATTAGCCAATTAGTAATTATTTTAACCCGATATTCGCAACTCAGTAAATGGGATTTAAGGTACCCGGACATTTTGCCGAAAGACACTTTGCCGAAAGACACTTTGCCGAAAGACATTTTGCCGAACGGACATCTTGCCGACGGTCATTTTGCCGAACGGACGTTTTGCCGAACGGACATTTTGCCGAACGGATATTTTGCCGAACGGACAGTTTGGCCGAAAGGACAACTTGCCGAAAATAAAGATCTTATTTCGTCAAAATGTTTGGGACTGTGTCTCAATTCTCAACTGTCTAATTCTCAACCATTGTGTAAAATAACCATTATATCGTCATTAGCAGTGCATAATGGTCATTAGCAGTGTATAATGGTCGTTATAGTAGTGCATAACCATATTGACTATTGGTAGTTGTTTGTGCAGCGGATGACTCATTTGTTAGGAACGTGTTTTGACGTCAGATCGTAAACAAACAAGCGTATATAAAGACGACGTAAGTGAATTTCATTTCGAGAATCATTGAATACATTCACAGTTCTCGGGGAAATCGCATTCAAGGGATTGGATGGGATTTAAGGTACCCGGACATTTTGCCGAAAGACACTTTGCCGAAAGACACTTTGCCGAAAGACATTTTGCCGAACGGACATCTTGCCGACGGTCATTTTGCCGAACGGACGTTTTGCCGAACGGACATTTTGCCGAACGGATATTTTGCCGAACGGACAGTTTGGCCGAAAGGACAACTTGCCGAAAATAAAGATCTTATTTCGTCAAAATGTTTGGGACTGTGTCTCAATTCTCAACTGTCTAATTCTCAACCATTGTGTAAAATAACCATTATATGGTCATTAGCAGTGTATAATGGTCGTTAGTAGTGCATAACCATATTGACTATTGGTAGTTGTTTGTGCAGCGGATGACTCATTTGTTAGGAACGTGTTTTGACGTCAGATCGTAAACAAACAAGCGTATATAAAGACGACGTAAGCGAATTTCATTTCGAGAATCATTGAATACATTCACAGTTCTCGGGGAAATCGCATTCATGAATGATATTGAATGATGTTATTCTTTATATCGCGAATTTTCGGTAAACTTGTCAAAAACTTGAAAGAATATAAAACGAAACTATACTTCACTATCAAAGTTTCTGTCATCAAAATCAACAATTAATGACTTTAATCACAGAAACTTTGACCGTGTAAGCGAACATTTAAAGTTCAGAAGATATCTCTATTTTCGGCAAAATGTCCGTTCGTCAAATTGTCCGTTCGGCAAAATGTCCATTCGGCAAAATGTCCGTTCGGCAAAACGTCCGTTCGGCAAAACGTCCGTTCGGCAAAAAGTCTGTCGGCAAAATGTCCGTTCGGCAAAATGTCTTTCGGCAAAATGTCTTTCGGCAAAGTGTCTTTCGGCAAAATGTCCGGCCACCGGGATTTAATGCAAATACGACTCATCAAAATGGCGGGAACTTACAGTAAACCTTTTAATATTAGTCTCTTTTGGTATTATATAAAACAAATAATGAATGTTTTTATTCGTGCAATGGTAAGAATATTTTCATTCAGTGAAACTGAGATGGAATGTTCCATTCAACTCGGCTGTCGCCTCGTTGAATGCATGGAACATTCCATCTTTCACCGAATGAAAATATTCTTACCATTGCACTCATAAACATTCATTATTTGTATGTTTGTTTGAGTGCAATGGTAAAAGTTTTAGTGCATATATGTATGTTTGAGTGCAATGGTAAAAATATTTTCATGAGGTGAAAGCTGGATTTTTCCATTCCACGAGGCGATAGCTGAGTGAGTTCATTAGTTCTTTTATATGACACCAAAATACTGAGAATAGATAAATTTTATCGAATTCTAACAGTGAAAATACAATAAGTGTCCCACTTCTGTAGTTTGTTATGATTTACTGTAATTTGTTCTGTTTTTCTGTAGCGATTACCATTTATCGGCAAATACCGCGATAAACTTAGTTTTCTCTATTTTTAAATATGATAATTTGTACCGAAGGGAAATAATACATTTTTGTGGCTAGCCCGTTTGCGGGCTAGCCATTATCACATAGTACACAAACGCGTTGAGCGATGATGATCATGGTGTCCAGTCCGGATTTTCGTAAAGTATCGGGAGCAATCGGAAGCGCCCGTATTTTTCTGCCGACATTTCACATTTGCACTTCGAGGCAATACTAGTGATGTTGTTACGACGCAGTTGTTAAACCAGAAAATTAAAATAAAGTTTATCTTCATGGCTTCAACCTATGGTGTCGAAACCGATCAGAAATTGCGCCTACTCGCCGTGTAAATATGGGTTTTGATTTGCACTTTTGACTGATTTGCCATCTTGAATTGTCTTCTTGTTGAGATTTCATATCTCAATTGCATTCGAAATGTTTGGTATTTTAAAGAAGGGGTATTGTGTGGAGGAGGTTTATAATGCTGCGAATAAAACCAGCATTGGATAATTATGGTAAAAGACCAGAAACTGTGCATCGAACTCGTTTATTTAAAGGCTTTAAGTATGCCTTTTCTTCAGACATTGACGGCGTCTCAAATGTCTACATATTTGTAATAAACCTATAAAGGATTATTGCGTCTGTCTGTCTTAGGAGTTATATAGTCGAATAATTCAGCATGATTTGTCTCACGTTCTCTTATAAGTTGACTAATATTGCATAAAAGCGGTAAAAGTTGGTGTGCTAACCAAGATTTCAGTGTATTTGTTTGCTAATATTGCTAGGCCTATATCGCAAACGCTATTTGCCTATTAAAATATCATATGACAGGCAATTTTAATTCCACGGCAAAACTGCTGTTGCGCAAATAACAAACGCGAGATTAAATATATATGACAGTATTACAGTTTAGTAATATTGCATTAAAAGTGGTAAAAGTTGGCGTGCTAACCAAGATTTCGGTGTATTTGTTTGCTAATGTTGCTATATCTCAAACGCTATTTGCCTACTAAAAATATATGACACGCAATTTTAATTCCACGGCAAAACTGCTGCTGCGCAAATAACAAACGCGAGAT